AAACTGAACGGACCACAATATGGGCACTCGCCAATAAACTATCATCTCATCAATGGCACTCAAACACAACACACTGAGCCTCAGCACTGGGTTATGGAAAATGTAACAACACATATATAACTCCACATATCCCCTATCAAACTGACCGCCTTCAGGTGTAATGTGCACACTGTCAGTTCATGAATAAACCTTGAAATCTGCCATGCAACTGTCTCAAAACCAGCCTGACGACCGGGAACTCACCTGTACATTGTCCAGCACCATGCCGGCCATCACCATGCCCATCCCAGCCAGCAGGTAGGGGAAAAGCACCTGAAGACAGATAGCAATGGATGACTCCTCCTCCACTTTGGGCTTCTCCTCCACTGGCTTTTTAGGTACAGGCCGGGGCAGTGGCGGTAAGAGGAGGTCATCCTGGCTGTCTATGGTACCTCCCAGGTGGGCACTGGGACTCCCACCCGGGCTCTTCCCCTTGGAACGGGACTTTTTGTTCCTCTTCCTTTGGCGGGTCTGTTGTGGTGGTTTATCCTCACCAGGCATGATGGCGACGGTGGCTGTGTCAAGCGGGGCGGTGTTGGCTTAATCTGGGAATACAGAATAAAATGGGACAATTGGCTAGTTAGTTGTTGTTTTATTACACCTGTACCCAAACATCTCCTTTATTGTGCTGTAAACTGACAAAAAGCAGTACGTTATCAGACGAGTCAAAAACAAAACTAGATAAATAGTACAGTCAGATAAAAGAGTGTAAAAAGGAAATATTAAGCTTTACAGAGTTTTTGCAGTTGATAAAAGTCTCATAATTTGTATTATTTGATAAAATAAATGAAAGCCACACCCTACTTTAACTTTATTTACTCTTCTATTTCACTAGCTACCTCGCTGCAGCTTACAAAGCTAGCTTTAGCCTTCCATTTTATGCAATTTATACAGTGAAGCTTCAGCAGTAAGAGTGAGTAAATACGGTAATATGACTCAAATGATCTGCGTTGTTGTTTTGTAAAGAAAGTTAGCTTCAGCTAGGTAGCTACCTCTGTGTGTTTAGCTACAAGTGGTTAGCTACCTAGCCTCACAGCTGCTCAGTATAACCCTTTCCTGCCTGTTGTCAGTTTCAGGGCTCCACACATTACACAATACAATGTACAGTAGCTACAGGTGAAAGCTTAGAAAGACATGCAAGTCTCCCTAGCAGCAAACAAAGCAAAGATAAATAATTCACAACAATCATATTTTGAATTAATGTGACCCTTTATCATCCACCTTATTCAATTTATAAGTAGTTAACTGTCTTTTTTCCTTTTTTTTTTAACACTGGTTTTTCATACACAGTATGTGTTGTGTGTAACATCTTTACCTCCAGCAGTACTTTTTGGACATATTAAATCTGTATTATGAGATTATATTGTCCATCACTGCTTTACTGAATACTTTTTCTTTGACTCGGTGTTTAACGTTTAAAAGTGCCAAAGCCTTACAGAGAGACACATCCTTACAAAACGAAATAAAAATGTTAATTTCACTGGAGAACTGCCTATATTAGTTTTCAGTTCACGTACTTTTACTAACACCAGCACAAAGACGTGGGTAGCACACTGTCACGGAGTCGATAACTGATCAAATGCAGCACTCATGTATTTGTTTACATGGTGTGTTGATGATCCATCAGTATCCGAACCAAAACCACTGAAATAACGTCAGACCACTGATGCTTCAAACCACAAATAAAACATCATTAATACACACAATACCGACGACGGAGTCCCCGCAGTCCAAATGTCCAACTGTATCTGCGGGTCCATGAGAGTCTCATCAGAGTGATACAATGTACAAGTATCTTCTGTAGACATTCATTCCTCTACTGGAGGCTGCCATCATTTTGTACATACCATAATATCACTGCCCCGGTAACCACGGTTACACAACTAGGCGCTTTCTCATTGGATAATCGCTGAAGTAAACTGTAGCCCCGCCCCCTCATGGTGAAAGTGCGCAGCTGCATGGATTTGGGGAAAAGTTCCATAGGTCATTTGTGTTTGATTATAATTAATAACAGTAAGTAAAACATTGTTCTGCCATATCAGGACTGATCATCTTTAATAATGTAAACTCATAGAGCAAGGAATCCAAATCTTAACCTATCAAAGAGCCAAAGAAAGAGAACATATTGATCAGAATGAACAGTTTGATAGTTACAACAAGAAGGACTGGAATCAGACCATGTGAAAAACACCCACGATTAACTGTTTTACTAGAGAGGCCCTGGTAGTCCCCAGACCACACTAGGGAAACCACTGTAGGTATAACTGACAGCAAACATGAGTGGAATCAGCAATGACTGGCCCAGTCCAAAGTCTAGGTATCTATAACTAAAGCTGCCTACACTACACAGAAAATCTGTGGCAGACATTGCTGTTAATGAAGACACACGCTCAGTCAACACACACTCTTCAACTAATGCTTAGCACATTACTGCTGTCTTTCTGAGCTACCGACGGCTGAATTAAGCCTATAATGCACACAGTGGAGATACGGTTCTGCATTAGTAGCTGAGATTAGATTTATCGTCCTTACCTTTGTCTCCAGAGCTGTGCGTGTGTGCGCGGCTGATGTGAACTCAAGCTCCCAAGAATAACTGTGTGTATGCTTGCTATGCTGTAAGTGTGTGAGTGTAAATTTCTGTCTATATTAGGGCTGTGTATGTTCTGCTCTCCATTTGCTGGTGCATTTTTGAGCATATGTTTGTGTGCGTTAAGATCACTTGGTGTGTGTGTGTGTGCAATGTGTGAGCCAGTGCGCATGCATCATGGGGCACCGTCTTGAATTTCATGGCATTGGCAGATAATGATATCCCCCTCCTGTCTCTTTCCATCTTCTGGTAGGCTGGTGACAGCAGCCGGCCGATACAACACCTTCACTTTTTCATTCATAGGAAGAAAAGGCATCGCCCTGTCTTTGTTTATAATCTATGCAAGTTGGTGTTAAAAACTGGAGTTATACTAGACTCATTTCCCCTGTGCTTTTGTTATAAGAAGTCAATAAACAAGGGTTCATTTGCTAAAACCAATAACTCTGCTTTGATTTACTTCGCTAAATCAGTTTTTTTGTTATTGCGCAGTCAATGCAATATCAATCAAACTGGTGGTGTTTCATTCATTTTGAGATTGGATTTTATAGGTTTTTGCAAATGAGCTCTTGTTAGATATTTTCTGTTGTTCAGTAGCCAACTTGCAAGTGATTAATGCTAAAAAGCAGAATTTCTATAGCTATCATCAAGAATGTCTTTTGCATTCTTGGCATGTCTGTTCTGTCACTCAGGTCTTACTTGTTGTCCTCCACTAACCTGCATATGCAACACAGAACATGATTTTTATATATATATTTACAGGAACTCACTCTTGCTATTAATACGACACCACTCTGTGCACATGCTGTGACATTTAATGGTTATGTCACAGTGATGTTGTTAATACTTCAGTGGTCTGTGTCTAAATACGAATCCCCACTTTTCATTTCATTTGTGTAGTTGACAGAGTGAGAATGTCTTCTTTTACTAACACACTGAAAACACACCAGATGACAGTAGCTGCTCTAACTGCTGCTTGTAGCTCATGACTGTCCCAGTAATGTGTATTGTTTCAGCTAATGCACTCATAGCTACATAATGACATTAACCGTCCTGTTATGCAATAAGCAAGCTGTCCTGTCCACCTACCTTAGTGTTATTGTTATAAGTTAGTATATCTAGGGCCTTGAGGCTGGGGCAAGCCTCACGCAGACACAGCAGGGAACAGGAGGCAGGGGCCGGACTCAGAGCAGGTGTGGAGAGGGAAAACAGCTCTGTTCTGACTCCAGCACACCTGTCTCCACTCACACAATCACACACACGGAGAGAGAGAGAGAGAGAGAGAGAGCTCACAGGATGGGAAGTAGAGGGTGTGAGCAGATGTAACAATGTGCTCTCCAAAGTTTTGATATGTGAGACTAGTTATGATGAGGATTTTACCCATGTAAACATCATATTCTGGTTCCAAAAATACATGTATGTTGTAAATATATAATTTATGTTGTAAAGTTCTTATGGCAAATGCATTGGGCTTCCTCTCGTTTTTCTGTCCAGCGGGTGAATTAACTCTCTCCTTTTGGCTCTGATTTAGTGTCCAACTAAAATGTCACTTTGTTCTGCTAAATGCTCCACTTTTGTATGTCCACCAGCTGGTTGCGAACAGTGTCTGCTGTTTGGTGCTGGGCAGGTAGCGTACAGTGGGTTTATCAAAGCTTCTACCGGACAGCTGCTGTGTCGGGAAGCCATGCTAAAGAGAGCGGCGAGAGTGAACCTAAACAGTAAATTTGTGGGCCATAAAACCAGAACAATGAACACTGAAAGGCGCTTAAAATGCTCTGAAGAGCTGATGGGAACTGTAGACTTGGGTGATAATACTCTGTGGGTTCATCACTACGAGCGACCTGTCATATTGCACACAGTCATTTCAACCATTGTTAATTTAAATATATAGATTACAGCAGCTTTAAAGATCCCCTCCAGTCAAGTATTAAGACCACTATAAAAATAGTCCAATATTGTGTGTCCAATATGATTTTTCTGCCAATAAAATGTATAATTTCCACATTAAAACCCTAATAAAGTTATCTACTCCTTCTACCTTATTAAAAAATTCAGAAACTATTAATATACGAATGTTGTTCATTTCTTAAGTTTTCCTGCTGGACACAAGATGTCTCCTACTTCACTGTAAAGTCCATTCTCAGTGTAGGTGCACTGGTGGCTTCAGGTTTTTGCAGCTTGACCGCTTGAGATGTCAGTAATTCCTACACACTGGTCCTTTAAAATCAACTTTCCACTTTCAGCAGATG